ATACTCAACTCAAAAGCTCTTTTAGGTCCATGGACTTTCTGAATCTTTTCCTCAGCCCTTTAGACTTCCCCATATTTCCTCCAAAAGAACAGTGAATAAAAAAGCTTAAAACTCTTAAGATGTTTGAGGGAGTCTGTTTCACAGTTCTTAATGTTGATACTGGGAAAATTTTAAGCCTTAAAAACAAATTCACGTCTCTTTTGATGATAATTTGGTCTCACATATATCTTACTTTACAAAAAATGATGAGATTTTAGTACTAATAATAGTTACAATAATAGTAATAATAATGGATTTCTGCCAAAAATATCGGCATTCTAAATGATACTTGTCTTTACAGAATATTGATCTACATTTTGTCTAAATCATCTGTGAATTCAGATTATCTTCTGAAATAATTATATAAGGTTATTACTTATCTAAGTAAGCAATCACTATAAATTTTATAAATGTGTATGTATACTCATAAGTCTATATGTATATACATATACATATAGACTGTGCTCATTGGTTACACAATTTTGGCCACACAGGTTGAACTTCCCAGATACTTGCCTACGTCAGAGCCTTTGTATCTGCATTTCCCTCTGCAGTGAGGATCTAGCCTCCAGTTTGCATCCTTCCTGTCCTTTAGGTCTTGGCTCAGATATCATCTCAGAGAAGCCTTCCCTAGCCACTTTTGTTATGAACTGAATTTTGTCCCTTCAAAATACATAAATTGAAGCTCCAATCCTCAGTGGAACTGTATTTGGAAATAAGTGCTTTAACAAAGTAATTACGATTAACAAGAACATATAGTGGAACCCTAATCTGATGAAGCTAGTGGTATCTTTATGGAAACAGGAGGAAGATACCAGGAGGGCACACACACAGAGAAAAAGCCATGTGAAGACAAAGCAATAAGGCATCTATCTACAAGCCAAGGAGAGAAGCCCCCGAGAAAAACTAAACCCAGTTAACCTTGATCTGGGACTTCCAGTCTCCAGAACTGTGAGAATAGAAATTTCTGTTATTTAAGCCACCCAGGCTTTATTTTGCTTTTTATTATTATCACCCAGGTGATATTTTGTTATGGCAGCCCTGGATGTCTAATACAGCCCCACTCCATTTGTCTTCTGTAGCACTTTTACAAATTTGAAATATTCTATTAATTCACTTATTTACTTGTTTATTGTCAGACTGTCCTTTCGTAAGGCTAGAGAACTTGTCATTCATGCCTTATACCTATGCCTGGTATCTGGAAGGTACTCAATAACTAACTGTTGAACAAATAACCAAAGTATGCAAAAGTCACAGTGGACTGGGCATTGTGGGTAATGGATAACTATGGGATGTTTTTTTTTTTATTCAGTAGATTGTTATTTTTAATCCCAAGAGAAACACTATAACTTCTCAAGAGTTAAAAATCCAAGTGTTTATAGGAGTCAAGTAGATGTTGTAAGTGAATATGTAACTTTATGCAAATAAAACTGAAAGGTTTTCTCCATTCTCTATTTTACATTGGGGTACACAGCAAAGTGGAGAATGCATTGCCAACCTAAAGACTACAGCTGCTTCTGAGTCAACTACTCCCATGAGCCCAACGTTGTCAGATCTAATATTAAAAAGAAGTAAAAAATCTACATTTTTACGTGAAATCTTATGATTTAAAAAAAAATGACAACTACTTAAAATTTGTATAAAATACTGCAGGCCAAAACCAACAATAAAAAAATAATAAAACAAAAAGTATGCAGAGGTAGACAAGAGGACTTCAAGGAGATCTGAAGCTACTCTAGCTAAAGATGGCTCTCCTTTCACGGCAGGTACTGGAGGCCCTGCCCAGAAGAACCTGGCTTCTCCACACTATATAATCTCTCTTTTCTTTCTCCCTCACTCAGCCTTATTCTCTACTCCTACGCACCTCAGCTTCCTTTTCCTTTCTTCTTCATTTCTTCTCTCCTGCTTTTGCCTTACAGCTGCCAATATCCTTGCCTTGCAACCAAAATTCCTGAAAAAATTCATTTCTGATCCAAAGAGGTGGGGGATAGGAACACAGGTGCTACTCAGGGATAATTACTTCCTACTCTCAGACTTAAGAAGAGCATTGTTGAGGGGGAAAAAAAAAAAAAACACACATCACACAGAGGGAGCTTCCATCTTTGTGTACTAGGATAGAGAACACAATAAAATGCTTGCTACCATTTATCAAGCTGCCACAAAATGTTAGCAATTTTGGAAAAAAAAATTAGTTAAATGTTTATTGAGTGTTTGCTCATGCAGTGAACTCTATACTCAACTGAAATCAAGAAAAGTGCAGATAGCTCCCATGAGTCCTTTCACAAAGGTTCAGGAATTCGGAAACTATAAATCATGAAGCAAGGCCATACTGAATTTACTTTCAAAATTCTGGAGCCTCTGTTACTTTCCAATTCTAGTTTCTGCTTGTCTGGCTTTTATTTTGCCACTTCTGCATATCTCTTAAACCAAAAATTCTTGTGTTTGTCCTCGGAGTTGGCAAATATGAAGGAAAGATGAAAAGCTTAGTTTCCACTCTTGGTGTGGTTGTATCTCCACATAGGAAGAGGAATGAGGCTTGGAAAGAAGAACCTCAAGAGAAAATGTAGAGACAGGAGAAGAAAAGGGAATTGGTTGGAGGGGAGTAGGCTGAGACCAATGAGGACAGCTTGGGTCTAAGGTGTGGGAACTCAGATGTGATTCCCACTGAGTAAAATTAAAAGTGGGAAAATTAGGAAGTCCCCAAATAGTTATGTTATTTTTATTATTATGTGAGTGAGCTAAATGGATCTTTCTCATTTCACTACCCCATTGCCCTATTTGTTTCTAAAATCCTGCCTAATTCCCTCAAAGTTCTTTTAATTCTCAGATGATGTTCCTGGGACTTACCCTCTCCTTAGAAAAGCCCTTTCCTCTTCATTTTTCACTTAGACCTAGTGATTTAAGTGACCCAGTGGTTTAAGTGAATGTCTGATCACATATTGGTGGTAATGACTGAGCATCCATACTGCGTTCTTAATCGTGCTTTGAGGTGGAAGTCTAAATGCAGCACCCTTATTCCCCCAACTAGCACAATGATGGGCAGAGGTGAAACTCAATTAACTGAGTGGGACTAATTAGTGGGACTTCATTTGTTAATATATAACAATGATGAAGCTGAAGCTCCAACACTTTGGCCACCTGATGCAAAGAGCTGACTCATTGGAAAAGACCCTGATGTGGGAAAGATTGAAGGCAGGAGAAGGGGATGACAGTGGATGACATAGTTGGATGGCATCACTGACTCAATGGACAAGAGTTTGAGCAAGCTCCAGAAGATGGTGAAGGACAGGGAAACCTGGAGTGCTGCAGCCCATAGGGTCACAAGGAGCCGGACACGACTGAGTGACTAAACAACGAACAAGTGAACGAGTGTTTTGTAAGTGGGTCTTTAAGTTTCTCAAAATGTTCTTACTTTTATATACTATAACTGTCGTATATTTATTATTGGAAATTATGACTCAAATTCCAAAGTGCAAATGCAACTCGCCCTTGCCTCTAGACATGGAGGCAGGTTTACCATAAAATCCACATACTTTTCCTTGACTTTTTTTTTAAGCCACCCTGAGCAGCACACGGGATCTTAGTTCCCCTAAAATCCACACACTTGTGTTCCCGACACATTTGTTTCTGATGGAGCAAAATGTCCATTTCAAGTATTGGGGGGTTTCCTTTAAAAATTAGGAGTTATTTTTGCATGTATTAGCATTCAAGGAATCAATAGGATAGGACTTAATCCACTACCTGACAACTGCTGCTCTGGGGAAAATATGGCCTGAAAATGAGGTGAGACACTGATCTGAAAACAATTTTAACTTGACAAAGTACAAAAAAATACAGACTCACACAATCTTTTTCAATCAACAGCCTCAGAATAATCTTGCTAGCAGAGAGGAATGAGTATTGAAGATCTACACTGAAGAAACATTACCTTTATCTTATTGGTTAACCTCCTCACTTTGTAATTCTGTGAAAATCTCATGAGCACTTTTAATTTTTCAAAGTATTTTCCTATATTTCATTTTTAAAGCAATAAATAATTCAGAACTCATATTTTCTTTGGCTAAAGGCTTGCCACTGTTCTTCCATTATTGTCAGTTAGCTTTTAACCAGGGGTATTTCCCACTTCAGCTATCATAAGCTATCACAAGCTTTTAATGTTGGTGCAAACATTTTTCCTTTCCCTAGACTCCAGAGCTAGACATGTTATTATTGTACATTTTTCCTGTTTTAGATCTTAATCTTCTTTACATAGTTTCATAAAAACCTATGTCCCTAATATCACAGAAAGGTTTATAAACAGTCTTAATTTAAATACAAACTAGCCCCAACATCAGTCTCCTGAATTTCAGCAAAGTGAAATCAATGTTATCTAAGACTGTTTAAAAAGAATCAATTTAAAAACTAAACATAATGCTTGCTTAATAATATTTAGTCTTCTAATTTGATTTTCTTGGCTTTTGCATCCAGAACAACAATTTCATTTTTTCTATGCAGCTATTCCTGAGATCTCTATTCTTGACTGCCTCCCTAAATTTTTGGAAAGACTCATAATAAAAATTTCCATAGGTTCTGTTTTAACTTTTCCATTCTTACTCATCTTTACTTTCCATGAGGCAATCCAATAATGAAAAGCAATGTTAGTTAAAAATATTGTCTCTAAAGGCCTGTCAAAGCTTGGAATTTAGCATGTATTTTGGAGAGACACCGGGGTGTCACAGAAGAGTGCTCAGGTTTTTCTATTGCAGAAGTAATACTGGAAACCTCTTCCTACCTACGCCTTCAATTCCTCAGTGATTCTGGTTGCTCAACAACATACCTGGGAGTTTATATGTCTTCTTAGAAATAACAGAGTTACTTTGGAAAATAAGCACTTAGGAAAGGCTCAGTCTCCTGTGACCATGCACTAGTGCTTTTTTCCAAACTGTTCTAGGCAGACCAAGCAAAATAGAGAAAATTCTTACCTCTTGAAGGACGTAAGACAATACACATCACCAATAAAGCAAGCACAGCAGAAGTGGCAACTCCAAATACAATTTTTAACCATGTCTACATAAAATAAAGAAAATTAGAAATATAAATGATTTCTGCTAAGTAGTAGAAATGGCAAGATTTTATTTACGCATAAATCCGCTTTCTCCCTCCCCATAAAGCTTTTGATTGTCTTCCACTAATCTGGCTATAATTGCTGGAATTCTTCCAGCTCTGCAAGGAGAAATGTTTCCACAGTATATTTAGAACAATTTCCCAATCCTAACCCACTCCAGGAAGTACATACTTATGTACAAATCCTCACCTTCTAAACAATAGAAAACTCTGATTGTGCTCAATTCAGCCAGCCCCCGTCCTTTAGCAGTATCTGCGGCTGCATATACTAACCTTCATTTTTCCAGATGTTTTTGAAAGTTAGCTAATTCTGACTTCAGAGCGTGGGTCACCAGATCTGTGAAAACCGTTGAAAGAAGTAGGTCTGTCTTCGTAGTTGGAAGTCGAAGCTAGGGCAAGTTTTTTTTTTTTTTCTTTCCACGGACTTTCGAAAACCGTGCCAAATTTCAAAAGATTTCTGTAAAATTAGAAACAGATTTTGGGGGCGTTCTTGGCCTTGAAATGAACTGTGAGTGGCTCAAGGGAGATTTTATAGCCTTCTTAACCTTGTAAATTCTACACCAACATCTGCTTACGCTGACATATAGAGGTTTTTTAAAATATTTTTTTAACAAGTTTAGGTTTATGTTTCATTTTCTTCTAGAAATCACTTATGAATCATATTGGAAAGTCATGGGGTTTTGGATAACCTTTCTATTTGCAATCAAAAGAAGAATTTAAAATATAACTTTAAGGTGTGTATAGTACACATATATCTAAATTTTAGCAGAGGAAGAAAATTAAAGCCACATAAGATTTTGTAAGAAAGACTCCATGTTACTGCAATTTTTCTTTCTCTGGGAGATTATGAGGTACTGCAGACAGAAATGTTTTTCTTTCAGCACAATTTCTTTGTCCATATAGCACCATATGCACTTTCAGTAAATACAGAAGTTTAAAAATTCAACTGTCTAAACCCACGACTGCTTTACTTTAAAGAAATAAAATGCCATCTGGTGAAATTTAGTATGGGTTAGGTGTGTATGCACAGGCCAGAAAGATGGAAAGATCAGTAAGAATAATTTACCAGCAGACCTTTGAAAGAATGAACATGGCTTTGCAAAAGTGATATTTTTGCTTCCCTCTCAGAATATATTCTGAGAGAGAACAGTTAGTAATTATAAAGCCTTTAAAATAAATAAAAAGCATTTGAAAAAAGAAGTAAGTCATATGTACAATTTCATTTTGGCTAAATTTGCATAAATCCCAAGCCATCGGTCAACCTAACATCATCTGACATCAATCTGAATTAAAACACACACACACATCCATATGCACCCACACATACCAGTTTATTAAGTGTATGTTGGCTGGTTCAATGTAACTCCTTTGGATAGATTCTGTTGTTCCTCATAAATACAGTTGTTAACCTACTATTTCCCCCGCCCCCAACTCACAGGTCTCAACCTGACTAAAACAAAACTTCATGGTGAACTTTCATGGATTTTTCATGAACAATAATGAGGAAATGTTTCTGAAATCTTTTGCTGTTTGCTTTAGTCAATCGGTCTGACTACCATGGAAGGTTTTCTTCAGCGAAGTGCAGGACAGTGGCTTGTGAACTTCCTTTCAGACATTCTCCAGACATCCCTCCCTGAATTCCAGCCTTATGAAAATTCTGTTGAGGAAAATGAGTCATGAAGCACTTACTGGCAGAGAGATGTAGCCACCCCAGGTTGGAGAGGCACCCCTCCCTCCTTTGCAGTTGATGGGGCCAGCTCTTTGCAAACTGGAGCAATCATTGATATAAACATCCAAGTTGTGCTATATACTTGTAGGCATCTCCGTGTGCTTGTGAAATCCTCAAATCCAAGATAAAAGCCACCAGCCAGGTTCCAAATGAACTGCTGCTACCATGTGGGTCCTCTCACATGTATTGCCTTCTTTGGAAAGTTCACACAGCGCATTCTCAGAAGTTCTGTTCCAGCTGCCAAGGCTCCAAAGTCTCCAAGTGCTTTTTAGTGAGTTATTTCCACGACTTTACATCCTGAAGAGAAACTGACTGTAGTAAATGATTAGGGCATAATTAAAAGGGTTACTCTTGGCTTTAGCAATTAAAAATGCCCTGACATGTGACTGGCCTGGGTACCACTTAGGACTGTAGTCAAGTGTGGGTGTCTATAAGAAACCCATTTGACAGAATCTAAGAAGAAATCTGAGTGCTTTAAGAAGAAAAAGTTTTGATTGAAAGTTTCAGTGAGAAGGGAAAATATGAGGCTAAAACATGGTTCTTTAGTTTTGTTTGTTTTTTCCTTGGATGGTTGGGTAATTCAAACTGCAAATTTTAGAAGATTCTGACTGGTTTGAAAGGTTCCAAGAAAAATGAGACTGACTACAGAAATAAAGGTGAGTTAGGGATACATTGCTTATAACAGAACTACACATATCCATCCCTTTGAGATCGTTTGTAAGTGTTCAGTTTTCATCCAAATAAGTACTCCCACAAAAATAACTTACATTCTTTTAATATTATAGCATCTTTACTGACTTTTTCTCCTTTTAGAGTCAAATGCAAATGCCTATGCTAACATTTTTTAAACATTAAGGAAACTTAATATATCCTTGTTTTATATAGTTAGTTAACATCCAGTTAACATTTTTTGGGGGGGGAAATAATTATGAATAAGCCAGGGGGTGGAAATAATTATGAATAAGCTATGGTCTGTGTCTTCAGGAAACTTACATTCTTCTACAAGCCTGGCAACTGCGTGTGTGTGTGTATGTGTGTGTGTGAACGCTTACTCATGTCAACTCTTTATGACCCCCTGGACTGTATAGCCCATCAGGCTCCTCTGTGTATAGAATTTTCCAGGCAAGAATACTGGATTGGGGGGCCATTTCCTCCTCCAAGGGACTCCTCCAAACCCAGGGACTGGACCTGTGTTTATTGTCTCTCCTGCATTGCAAGTGTATTCTTTACCAGTGCGCCACCTGGCAAGTGAGTCCTTACATATTCGTTTCTTTTCCTTTCCTGGAGCCCTTGCTGAGAACGACCCTGAAGCTGGCTTTGTGTTTCGTAGAAAAAAGTGCTCAAGAGTGCCCTGGTGGGTTTGTTGATTGCTACATGGACCCAGGAGGAGAGACAGAATGTAAACATGGCACATGTTTGTGATCCTTAATTCAAGTCTAAGCCTTATTTTTATTGAGACTGAGACTTTCCTCATTTAGCAATCCTAGACCCATTCATTGCTGATAAAATGGAAAGTATGACTTTGGCCTGTAAACAATAAGAGCAAGTATTAAGATACTAGAGACTAAAGTGAGCTTTTTCAAGAGATGGAACTTATATGTTTTCATTTAAAATATGACTGCACTTTAGTAAGCCCACTGGATAAGTTAACTATAACATAAATCCTTAGCTTGCTATTTAGTAGCAATAGAACTATTTAGTAATAGCTACTGTGTCTGCCAAAAATGATTTTGATTTAGATGTTTTCCCAGAAAACACATTCAGCTGTATATTCCTTGAGTGTGAAGGTTAAGACAATGTTAAAAGCATAAATAAGGATTTTGTCTTTTTAATTTGGGGTAGGGAGATAAAGAGAGATGCTTTCATTAATCAAAAGTTGAAACATATTATTAAGGTTGAGTAATAACTCTAAAATAAAAATTTGCTCCCAAGAAGGCCATGTCTGTCCATTTGATTTCTCACATTCAGTAAAAATTTCTTGTCAACTGTTTTGTACAAAGTGCATTAATACATTTCCTTTAACTCATACAAAACCCATTTTAATGATTAGGAAATGGAGCCCTGAAAAATTAGGTAACTTGCCCGAGATTCCAGCAGGAACCATTGTTACTATGGTATAATGATTCTTTCTGATAAGTCCTGAAGTTGATTCCAAAGCTTATTTATTTTTTTAATTTTTAAAAATATATTGATTCCAAAGTAATAAATATATTTTTAAAATTAAAAAATAAATAAGTAAAATTTTAAATTAATATCTCACTGAGTTTTCTGTTGAAAGGTATCCAAGTATGATGGTAGAATAATTAGAGCTAAAATACGTGTAGTCCTCACATCTTCAGAGAACATTGTTACACATGACTCCAAAGATCTCAGTCTTACTCTATAGGGTCTGCGACCAAAATATCAGCTTGGTTAGAGTATTGTTAGAACTGAGGTCTAGTAATCAGAGCAATAGTTATACAATGCCTAGGATCAGAAAGTATCCTTCCAGTGATCTGTTTAAATTAAGGGATTCATCAGAATATCCATCATCAAAGATATGAGATCTAAGCTAAGAAGAGCTAATATCATCAAAACTCAGAGCAACTGTTACATAATTATAGATGTGGAAGATGTGATGTAACAGCATTGATGACAAATGATACAGCTTAAATTAATTTTGAATCTGATCTATTTTCTAAAACTCCAGTTGTTACATGAGGGAGAATGTGAAGCAACATGCCTCCTGGTTTGTAATTGATAACTACTTTCTTAATAAATGTTATAATTAGATGCCAGTGTTTACTTCCCTCTAATAATTAGGGCAAGGTCTCCTTGGTGGCCCAGAGAGTTAACAATAAAGTTGGATTAGGAAATAAACAGTAGAGAAACAACATATTTCTTTGGGTGTTTAGATGCAGGTTAAAAATGCAAATATTACATTTTCCTAGAAGTAATAAATCAGTAGGTTTGATTAGATTAAGTAGTTTAAATTAAGTGTGTGTTTTGTACACTTTGATAAAACTTACTAAAGACTGCTATTTCACTAGTATTTTTACAATAGAGATTATTACTATTAATAGGTAATGCTTATTGAATACATGTTAATCCTGACATTTTTCTAAGCACTTTACTTGTACTTTCTCATTACATCTTCAGAACATGAGTACCATTATGTTCTTCATTTGGAACACAAGGGCATGGATGCAAAGAAGATTTAAGTAACTCCCTCAAAGTTACATAGCTTATGATTATGTGTTCATGAGCTATGTGGGTGGTAGAGACACGACATGAACCCAAACAGTCTTACCCTATAACTCAATTTGATTGGTCCATGTTAAGCTAGGAGCATATATATATATATATATATATATAGAGAGAGAGAGAGAGAGAGAGAGGTGTAGTGATGAGGTGTGTAATCAAGACTGGATCTAGGAGAAAGTGAAACAGAAGGAAGAAATTAGATGGATATCTAATAAGCTGGATATCTTGATGAGACCAGTGATAGAATAGAACATAAAGAAGTTGTTATCAGAAATGAGCAGGTTTCAGTTTAAGATTTCAGTGCAAGGTGCTGACAAGGGTGTGGGTGTGGATACAGAAGTAGGTGGACAAGGTAGAGGAAAGAGGTGAAGGTACCTATACGATAGTTGCCAAACACTGAGAGGTGAGGGAATCATTTGGGATGTGTATGGGAGTTTAATTGATTNCTCAAAATCTTAAAATGTTAAAGAAAATAT